CGTGATGTAATTGTTAGTAACACACAGGTTACTATTATAGATATAGTTAGTATTAATACAATTAAAGCAGATCAAATTGTTTTTTAAATTTCTGATATCTGAAGTTAGATGTCTCGTTCCTCAATAGCAGACATGAACAGCTTCTGTATAGTATAAGTAACTTTGTCTGAAAGTGTTAAATTTGTAAAATTATTAAATTATGAACAATTTATAAGTAAAACTGTTACAGTGAAATGTAAAATTTAGTTACAATATTGTATTACATACAATTAATTTTCTGAAACCATACTGGCTTATTTCTCCATTTAACACCAGCAAAATATGCTGGAATACCAGATAAAGTTATTAAGGTACCTATGCCAACTTCATATGGTCTTTCGTAACAGGGAACAATCACTAAAAACGCACATATAGCCACAAATGTGATAGGAATCCATAGAGGCATCTATAACACATATCCATTGGAAAATTATAGATGTGTTTACATTATCATTTATTGTATAATATACCTTAATTGGTCGATTCATGTTGGGATCTTTATAACGAAGCCATAAAACACCAGCTACTGACAGCATGATAAAGAATGTTTCAACTATACTGCAGTATGTGATTAATACCGAAATATCACTTGTACAAAGCATTATTAAAGATAAGATGCACTATAAATAAAAACAAAGGAAGAAGTTAAAAAGGTTCAATAATATTACTTTAGAAGTTATTTATAATTATATGGTAGGGGGGATATCATATTTTTTATACTTACAAGAAATAATAATGCAGGTGTAGGTGTAAATCTTGAAACATTAATGTGACCTAACATTGAGGGAAGATGACCATTTCTAGCACCAACAAAACATAATCGAGATGATGTCATAATATGAACACTCAATCCTCCAAATGCAGATATAGCTACCATTACTGGTATTATCCAGGCCATTGCACCAAGTAGTTGATCTCCAAACGTCTAACAATAGGTTATTCTATTAATTTTTCTTTAAAAATTGATATATGGATATTTAAAATTATATATTTACCACAGCTATTGCATGAGAAGCAATCATAGCAGTTGATGTTAAAACTGATAAATATGCAACATTTGCCAATACATATATGGAAGTAACTAAAGGTAATGATATGTAGATAGCTCGTGGTAAATTTCTGCAAAATCAAGTACTAGTTTAATATATAAAAATAGAAGGATTAACGTGATATATTATAAAATTGTATTACATACATATAAGGATCTTTTAATTCTTCTGTCATGAAATTTAGATAATTCCACCCAGAATATGAAAATATACCTGAATAGATAGCTACTGCAATTT